GGTTTATATTGAGTTCTTGCATCATAAGTGTTATCTTTCATGATTCCATGAGTTTCTGGAATAGTCAAAGAACAGGCTAATTTATGTTCCTCTAAAGACAGTCTGTTTCTCTTACCCCACCACTCACCACATTAGAAATTTAGATTTACATTATCTTTTAAATTCTAAAACTTCACAAAATATGTTCAGACAGTCTCCATTTTAATTATTACCCAGAATATGGTGAGCTCTTTCAGTATGTATATTCTGTTTGTTGTTTTTTTCAGCTCAGGAAATTGTATTTTATGTCTTTGAAAATAAGTTTTCCTTGTATCTGCTATTATTTTTTGCTTTAGAAGTATAAAAGACTAAGTAATTGAAAGTCTCTCCTACTTTACAAAAGTAGATGGTGGATAAGCCATCATTTCTAGTTCACTGCTGAATGCGCAGAAGGTAGACAAAATGATCAAGGGACTTGGGACATCAGCCAGGAAAAGCTAGATTTTGTTGTGCTGGGGGAAAGTTCTTATATCATCACTCCAGAATGCAGAAAATTATAGAATAGAGAAGAGACCTGAAGAATCTAATGCAAAGACACAGCATGCATATAAACAGAGTCATAGAAGATGAAAACAGAGATGATGGAGGAGAGACAATATTAAAATACAGGTATGATGGATGAAGTTTTTCCATAATAAAGATATAAATCCACATGTACAGAAAGGACAAAGTGTATCAAGCAAGATTAAAGTCATAGTTACCCATAAACATCCTAGTGAAACTGTACAATAAAAAAAAACAAGGAAAATATCCTAAAAACAAAAGGAAACAAAAGACAAATTATCTAAAGATTGACAATCAGATAACAGACATCTGAACTGCAACAGTAATAGTTTGAACTAACCTGTTTGCATCTCATTTTTCATCTTTTATTTCATAGTCACCTCCTTTCAGTTTATTAAATATCCATTATTCTCTGTTTCTTGAAGTCCTTTTCTGTTTAGCTTTCTTCACCTTTGATAGGTTATTATTTCCCTTATTTTATGCTACATAAGCAAATTCTCCACCAACTTGAACAAATCAGGAGATAAACATGGGTAATTTGCTCCCAAATTAATAAATCATTGGTCAACATTTCTATTTTCACAGCTACTGCAACCTTGCATAATTTTTTTCAGTTTCAAAGCTCACTGGGAAAGATGGAGAAAGTGAACCAGACATAGTTAATAACCAAAATAAACTAAAAAGTCCTTGCCCTTTCTGTTTTTAAAAGTAAAACAATAAAAATAGTATCCCACAACCATTTAAAAAATGCTAGTGAATACGAGTTCAAAAACCAATGTTATTTTTCCTGAGCAAAGGGTTAGTTAGTTCATTGCATTCAATGACTGTATAATTGGCCAAGTTTCTCTTTTTGTTCTTACCAATAATTGTGAGACCCATTTAACAGTAATTTTTCTAGTAGGAAATTTCTAGAAATCAAACACCAAAGAAAATTAAAGGAAAATAAAAGATGTTAAGTCAAAAGAGCAATAAAAATGGAATGTTTAACACCAAAATCAGTAACAACAAAAAAATGACAGTTGACATTTATTGAGGTCATTGTAAACATAATATCCCATAACCATTTAAAATATGCTCGTGAAATACCAGGCAGTTTACTGGTATTTCTTATTTAATTTTCACAAGAGCATGTGCACTTTCTTTATGCCCATCTATAAATGCAACATTTGAGGCAATCTGACTTCCTCTCTCTATCTTATGTGTCTGAAAATCCTTTTTCTTTAACTCACATTTCAAATTCATGTATCTTTTTTCCACTTGTTCCTTCAATCATTCATTCAGCAGATACTGAATACATAGGTTATGAATCAGAGCTCCGTATGTTTGCAGCAATTACACACCAGTGGAAGAGATGACAAAAAATAAAAATAAATAAATAGATAATAGAATTACTGATAAATGGTAACAATTACAAAGGGGAGAAGATGATGGAAGAGAGAGAGATGATGAAGAGACCACTTAGAGAGGGTGTCAGGGATTCAGCTGTGCTAAGCTGATGAGAGCAGATCTTACCCTGTAAGAATAAGAAAAGTCCAACTGCTCAGGCACCAGGTCAGGAGCATTCCTGGCAGAGGGAATAAGACATGCGAACACTCAGAATTAGGAGAGGGCATTTCTTCATCATGGAATAGGTGGTAAGAATATTCTGTTGTATTTAGAAACCAAGGAGTATAACAAACTGAAATGAGGAGGTAAACAGATCATTTAGGGCTTAGTAGGTACTGACAAGAAGTTTATGTTATTCTCGGAACAACATGGAGCTATTGAAAGATCTTATACAATAGAGTGAAAAATTATTACTATTTCTGTGGTTTAGAAAATGGATGGCATGGGGAGGTAAGCAGAGAATACATGTGGGAAGCTGTGTTAGGTAGGTGTTTCATTTGTTCATATCGTTATAGGACCAGTCTTACAACCCTAGGTAAATAATCAAACTAAACATGGTTGCTTTGCAATGAAATGTAATGCAACCCTACCCCCTCATCTAACCATGATGGGAGAGCCCTTCCTATATGTGAATTACAGAGCTAAATCCAGATAAGAAGTAATGGTGGTTTGGAGTGGGCTTATAGGATCAGGGGTATGTATTATATGAGGGGTAGTATTTTACATACGATTGTGTACAAAATCCTTCCTGGGGAAAGCAAGTGTATTACCACAAAAATGGAAAAGGGGTGAATTTTAAAATACCAAAATTAGGCAGCTGAAAATATCTTTTTCCCTCTATGATGAAGAATGTATTTCCCTCCCTGTAAGGCCCAGAAGAAAACTTTATAAACTACTTGAAAACCAATCAGACAAATCTGAGAACACTTGTTCTCCCTGTGTCTGGCACAAAACCTTGGACAATACATGCATACCAATTACCCTTTAGTAAAATCTTCTTGTCTCACACCATCACTGTTAAAACTCATAGTATAGCAAACACAACTTCAGGACAGCTTCTCAAGCTATATCCTTGAGAATCTATGGGTTCTTGAGGAAACATTAAAATATTATGTATCCAATTTTATAGCAATCTACAGAGTTAATATAAACATATTCTGAGTTACCAATTTAGCAGCCTTGCATATCAACGTCTGTATCTTTATTTTATCTTCAATTATGTGAATACTATGTGATCATCTGAGATTAAAAACATTTTGTTTTAACCTAGGTCTATCTCAAACATATTTTCCTGGGAATACAGGAAGTTTCGGAAACCATCTCTGTACCATAGGTCAAATAGAAGGCTGCATTGAGAATAGGATGCTTATCATCTTTGATTAAAGATGAATTCATTAGCTTGGAAGGCTTTTCCTAGCCTATATAGCTGTTGTGTTTGTATAAACAAGAGACAACATCTTTTTCTTTAGTGAGATGAATAGGAAAGGCATGTCTGGGAAGTCACAGTCCAACTGGACATAGTTTAATAAACTGATTGTATCTTTGTAATATAAGAGAATCAAAAGAATTTATTTTGCTTATGAATCAGCAATCCGGGCAGACACCAGCAGTAACAGCCTTCTTTGTCCTCCTTCGTCACCAGCTAGAACAGCTTGGCTGGGCACTGCAGATTCCACACTAGAGATGGCTCACTCACATGGCTGAGCAAACTGGGTTTGGTTTCTGCCTGGGAGTTCAGCCTTGTCTATGATCCATATATTAGGTTTTTGTCTACATGAAACTTTCCACAGCCTGCTTTGGATTCCTTACAGCACAGCGGCTATGTTCCAAGGGAACAAAGCAGAGTATATAGCATGTTAATGATTTAGCTTCATGAATCTCACATAGCATCATTTCCACCATATTCTATTGATCTCATCCTGCATTGTCCAATGCAATAGCCACTAGACACATACACTTATTTAAATTTTAAAATTAAATATAATTAAAATTCAGCATTGTAATCATAATAGCTACATTTTAAGTGCCCAATGTAGCTAGTGACTGTTGTATCAGGCAGCACAAATAAAACATCTCCATGATTGCAGAACATTCTACTGAACAGCCCTTGTCTACAAAGTTAGAAAGAGCCACTCAAGTTCATGGTGAAGGGGCCTAGACTCCATAACTTGGTGGAGGAAGCCCCAAGGGTGCAGTAGAAAAGAAAAGTATATGGGATGGGAGATATTGTTGTGGCCATTTTTGGAGAGTAGAATTTACCACATTAATAACTCAAATTATAAATTATGTAAGGAAAAGCCATATTAACTGATTATGTGTACCACAGCTTAACATATGCATATTTTACAATCCAGCAGTTCTCCTAGGTATACACAAAAGAGAAGCATTGCATGTGACAAGAGCAAGAATGATGAGAACATCACTTTCTGTACCAGCCCAAACTGGAAACCATCTAAATGTCCATCAATAGAGAAATGTTCAAATAATGAGCTGAATCTTAGCTATGTAACTACATTTCCTGTGAAAGTTACAAAACCTTTCAAAACTTTAGCTATACTAACTATAAGATTCTATCCAGGGGACGACTGTGGAAATTAATCCAGAACACATATGCAAAAGCATCTTGAGTATGGCTAGCACTCTGTCCCCAGTGACTACCACAGTCCCTGGGCATGTATGACGTCTTCTTCACATACATGTATGGAACTAATGAATTCGATAATAATCTGATTTATCCATCTGAATGTCTAAGTTGACTCTCTGTAGTCCACAAAAATGGATTCTCAGAAGTGTTAGAACATTCTTTGGGGGACAGTAACTGGCATCTCATAAGCACTCAGTGTTTGAGAATGAATAAATAGATAGAGGGATGGTGAGATGAATCTTGGCCTTTCTTTTGCCTGCATGTAAAACCCGACACAACTCAATAATGAATTTCTATCCTAACATATCAAAATCCTACCTCTCCCCACAGGGACATTCTTTATTATTTTACCCACACTTGGCAAGATAATATTGGAAGTGAGAGACAGAAAGAATGATTGTGAACCTAACAGCATACAGTGACCCACCTCTGGTCTGGGAATTGTAGCTGGAAATCTCTTGAGAAAATGACACCCACATGAAATTCCAGTTCTTCAGGTTTCAGCGAGGTTTCAGTGAGCGGGGGAGACCACAAGTATGACCTTCCTGTTGGCATTTGGTAACCTCCACTTCAGGTCCAAACCAGAGGCAGGAAGCTCAGTGCTTGCTAAGCAAGAAAAGGAAATAGACAAGAAAACATTCCAGCCTGAGGCTGGCCTTGGGATAGTTGTTCCTTTGTCTAGGTTATTTCTTTCATTCCTGCTCGTGGTCCCAACCTGCTGAAAAGGAAACCTTCTTCAACAGCATATAGGGAAAATGTTTGAAACACTGTGTGCTACAACGCAAAGCAAGGTTAGGCATGTCTATCTAATGACAAGGTCTTTTCTCTTTCTGTATGAGCTTTGTTTTTGAATCGGTCTTAAGGTTAAAGAAATAGGTAAGACACAGGATAAAACAAACACAAATTAAGAAGATATAGTTCAAAGTTGAAAGGCTTTGGTTCCTTCCTCAGGTTCAGAAAAAGTGCTTTTAGATTTTTTCATTGTCTTTTCTATTTTGGCTAACCTAAGTCTTCACGGAAGAAGCCACAACGGAATGCCACTTGAAGGACAGGGATGGACATTACAGGCAAAGAAAATAGTAGCAGCCAAGACACAAAGAGGAAAACAAAGGAGATGTTTTGTAGGGAAGGTTAAATAGTACTTTTGCTGGGGCATCAGGGCATACTAGGAACAAAGTAGCAAGGTAAAAAACACTAAAATTTATTAAACTCCTACTTGGCTTAAAAACCTGTACTAGGTTCCTCACTTGCATTATTCATGTTACTTAATCAGGGAGATTTTTAAGCTAATTGCTAAAAATCAAATGGCTACACAACTGTGAAGCTAGATTCAAAATCTGTTCTGACCTTTTCCAAGGGCAATGCATTTTGGTCTATGAAGAGAAAGCTGGTAGGCTACTTGGGGTAGACAAAGGAGGTGGGTCGTAAAGGCAAAGCTAAGCGTCTAATTTTTGAAGGAAGTTTGAAGCATGGTCCCAATGTGACGGAGGCTCACATTGTGCTGACAGTTGCCAGCAAGTCGAGCACAAAGACTGCAGCTCAGCCAGGCTGCAGAATGAGGTCCACACAGTGCCTCTGACCCTGGGACAGTCCTTCGTTTCTTTGCACAGTGTTCAGCAGTACTGTCGATGGGCCATCTCTAGTTTTCATTATTCATACCAGAAAGCTGGAGTGGAGGTCTGAACAAGGTCACCACCGGAATCAGAACCAGGACTGGAATGAACTCACAGGTCACTTGGATTCTAATTATGCCCATGTCATCTCTTGCTATGCTACCTAGGGATCCAACCTCCTAACCCCAGTGTTTCTTTTTTGCATGAGCTTTGAAAATTTGAACACAAATTAATTTACCATCTCCATCTGGGAATATTTTCCTATTTGGGTAGAAATATCAAAAACTTCCTCCTAGCATTTCTATATTCCATATAAGGCACCCACTGTATCACCCATCTGGAAGCCTAAGTGGGGCAGATAGTTCCCATCCTCTCTCACCCCTTGATCTCGATAGCACTTTGTCCTGTTTTCATGATCTTTAGTGCATGCTGCCTCAAATGCATAAAATATCCTTGAAGCAGAAATGGTCTTTTTTTTTTTTTTAAGCCCTGAACATAGCACATCTGTTTTAGGATGTTTCCACCCTTCAGTGCTACAACAATTGAAATACAAATTTTTGTTATCTACATTTGTATGCATATCTACGACTATTTTACTAAAAATGTTATTACCGTTATCTAAAATTTTAAATCTTTGAAATATTTTCCCAAAGTATCCTTAAAAGGCTTTGATTTTTATCCTGTGCCAATAAATTAATAATCTCACATGACAGTGTTAAGAATTTGGTTAGAAAAGTGTTGCTTTAAAATTTGACAGAGAAGTGTTTGATTATTCAGGTCAATGACTTACTGTGCTGGTGACTTGCACATTGTTCTCAAATTTAGCCTCTGATCCCCACTCGGGACTATATTTTGAGGTGCCCTTGTCAGTAGGGTCCCTGGAAGACTTACTTGGCCATTGGGTGGCACAGATGGAAATATGGTAAGTAGAAGAGGAAAGAAGCCAGGGAATTTCAGGCAGTATCTCTGATGGCAGCTGCTTCTCCTCAGAAGTTGGTTCCAAATCCTTCCCAGACAGTCCTACCTCTCTGGCCCAATCTCTCCCATGGCACAGTTTAGCTTCTGCCTTTCTCCTTCATCCTCTGTTCTCTGACACACCACTTTCTCCCCGTGTTCCCTCCAAGCCCTTTGTTGCCAGCAGTTTACTGCTGTTGTTATTCGTTGGCTGCCTCTCCATCTCCTATTCGTCTTAAATCTCTCTGTACCTTTGACATTTCCTCTGTTTATCTCCCCAGGGTGGACTCTGTTCTCCTGGCTGGTGTACTTACCCAAATATGCTTGGTGGTAGGTGGTGGTACAAAGAGTAGAATCCAGACCTGCCCATTGAAACCTGGTGCTCTTTTGACTGGGTCATGCAAAAAGTGTTGGTGTTTGAAAGAGGGCATTAGTGCATGGTGTCAACAGCTGCTAGAGAAGACCAGAGAGGAAGTTATTGCCACGGTCTGAAGTGGTCATAGATGGCTTTATAGAGAAGGTGTCATTTAAACAATGTCCCAAGTCTCAAGGGTGGGTCTGAAAGCAGAGCATTCTTGGGCAGTTAGAAATACCATAATAAGCAGTACTGCTGGATGGGCCAAATCCAATTATAGTCCACAGCCTCTTTTTACTATTCCTAGGAAATTTTTAATACAAGAAAATATTTTGAGAGATTTTTGAGTTTCAAACTGCAAAGTACCTGTTATGAGATTATTTTTTATGTTTTTAATCTTACTTTACTATTAGTGATGTTTTGATTTTCAGTTGCCTAAGGAGAGAGTGCAATCTCTCTGACTTTTTAGAATCTCTGAACATTATAATCCAGTCTTGAGTTGGGTAAAGGAAATGAACAGTCACAAAAGATTTACTGTATATTTTCTGAACCAGTTGTTTCCTGCCCTATTTGGATTATTTATTACTGTCTTAGAACTTTCTGAATCAAAGGTCAATAAAGTTTTTACAAGACAAGCCTACGTGATCATATCTGCTTAGGCATTAATTTCATAAGCCCCTCACTTTCCTAGCTGAGGCATTCTTATTCTCATATTTCAACCTTTTAATTATTTGACCCCAATTTCTATCAAAAGGACCTTGTTAGGTATATTTTCTTAAGTGGTAACTTCTACATTATGCAAAATGAACATTGTGTAATAGAACTCAAGTGACCTCTACAAGGTTCATTTCTACAAAAGTGTAAATATGGTTTTTTGTGTATCTTCTTCCTTGATCCACATTTAGACTGTAATTGATTGATTCTAGCTTTCAAATGCTTTTCTTCTCTATTTCAGAACAGTAAAAAGTAACTGGCCTAAAAATCTAATTGACTGAAATGATCAGTTTCACCACAGTTCACTACTCTCACTCAGAAAGCTGTTCTGAGTGGCAATTTGAAAGAGCTGTCCTTTGAAATTGGCATTTTCTAAGTATTCTCCTAAATTACAGTTGGGCCATAAATACAACAGGTTAAATGAAGGCAGCTGAGAAATTGTATAGGTGAAAAATGACAAGGATATGATCTCTCCACTCAGGCATGTAAAGATTTAATCTCCCAGATTAAAAACCCAGAACACAGTGATTGTGTCAAGATAACAGCTGGGAGGATGCTTTGGGACAGGGTTCCCAGGGTATTTTCAGGGGGCTGGGTCTGTGGCCTACAGAGGCAGGTGTTTCACAGGGGTGCACAGAGAAGCCCTTTGCACAGTCTCGGGCCAGCTGTGAGCTTATCTGTGGCATCTTGCTTTCAAGGAATGGTTCCCCAGTGTCTGCTGAAGAGAAAAGATGGACCACCCCTGGGGAGAGCCTCCTTGCCTAGTGGCAAGGGAAACACAAAACTCATGAAAGAGAAAGCAGGTCGAGAGGCTTAGCTTTACAAAACAGGGATCTATTCTTTGACAAAACAGTCATTGAAGATACCAGAATGTCAACTGTTTTAACTTCTGCCCATTACCTATACAGGCAGTACTTTGGTTGGCCTCTGGAATCTCTAGATTCTCTTTACTTATCCACGTCCATTACCACCAGCCTCCTCCAAATCCTCATCATCCCGATGATAGCAGTGCCTTCTGACCAGGGTTCTCACACTTACCGTTGCCTCCTTCTACCCCAGCCTTTGCAACCAGAAGGGTCCCTGTAAAATTGAAAAACGTCCCTTCTACTCCTCAGCGTAGCTCTACCCAGTGGTCACATGGTACCCTGGAGAGCAGCCCAAGATCCTTAGCCTGTTACTGAAGCCTTCCATGAAACGCCTTCTGCGCACACTGGCCTAAGCTCCCAGCTCTGCTCCTTCACCTTACACTCCAGGCATGTAATGCATGTGGGACATCTTTTTTTCTTTGCCTATGACCAGCTCTGCTTTGGAGAAGTCTAATGAAGGCCTTTGAAAGGAATAATAGTCATTACACACATTTTATGCTGCAGCTCTAGAGTCCACGGGCACATGTCCTCAAAGAGAGGCAGGCAGAAGCGGTGTTGCCTTTATGACCCAGCGCATAAGTCTCAGAGCCTCGCTCCTGTAGCGCTCTTTATTAGCTGAAGTATTTATTCACAAAGGCCTGCCTGGTTTCAAGGGGAGGGAACATCTGTACCACCTCTTGATGGGGGTTAAGGGGGGACATGATTCTGGAAGAGCATCAGAGACTGCAAGTATGCTGAAGCCATTTTTGTAAAATGCAATTTGCCACAGACAGGGAGTATAGATTACTCTTTTAAGAAGTTTGACTAAGAAGAGAGGATAGAAAGATAAGAAAGAGAACAAAGCAGGATCAAAGTAAATGTTCTTTGACCTGGACATGCAAACGTACCACTGGGAAATGGAGTAGTTTGTAAACAAGCCCAGGCAGTCTGCTTAAGAGTCTGTACTTTTAACCACCTTGCAGAAGAGCAAGGGTCACCAGACTATGGCCTGCAGACCAAATACAGCCCATTGCCTGTTTTTGTAAGCCTGTGAGCTAAGGATAGATTTGAAGGTTTTAGACGGCTGGAAAAAAAATTGTTGTGTTACTGAACACAGCCATGCTTCTTCATTTATGTGTTGTCTATGGCTGCATCCATGCTACAGTGGCAGAGCTGAGTAGCTGCAACTGAGAACATACGGTCCATAAAGCCTCACATTTACTGTCTCACTCTGTAGAAAGTGTTTGCCAACTCCTGGTGTGGTGTCTCTCCAACTGACCATTTGTGCCTTTATACACATGAAGAATGCGTATAAAACTAAGGGTCCCTTCCACATGTGGCATGGTAAAAACCCCAAAAGTTCATGATTTCCTTGCTGGCTTTCCATAGAGATATGAAAAGAGTGGCCTTTCTTCCTGGCCAATATTGATGTGCATTCTTTCATTTATATAGGATTTTAGTCACATGTTTTTGCATGTTGTGGCTAGTTTTCCATATGTCTTTCTGATCTGAAATATCATTTCCTCACAGAGGTCTTCTCTTCTAAGCCAATTTCAAGCAGGTCCACCCCTACTCCCTTATTACTGAGCACTGCATCCTGGATATTCCCTTCCCATCAATCACACATCTATCATTCCATTGCTTTGCCCACCTGTCTCATCTATTTCCTCTCTAACACCAGAGTGTACATTCCACGGCAGAAGGAACCTTCCACATCCTTGTATCCCCAGGGACAATATTTCCTTTGTACTTTATCCATCTGGCAATGCTGCCAGCTCAATGAATACATTTATAAATGAATGAAAATTTCTCCCTTTTAACTCTATCTACCAAAAGTAGAAAGACACTTTGATTTCAGCATAATCTGAAGCAAGTGTCTCTCCATTTCTGTTTCATGGAAGACTAAGGTTAGTCCCCATACGCTGTGGTGGGGATCTGCACAAAAGAGAATATTGAAGACCTTTCCACAGTGGGCAGGAGCAGAGCTGGAGAACGGAGAGTTCCAAGCGTAGCGACGGTGGCCAGGCCTCCAGGTGTGCTTGAATCAGAGGGTCCCTCTAAAAGGGCTGTAGACACAGGGAGTAGATGGGACTGGACCTGCTGGCATAGGGCTTCATTTGCCCACAGGAGTCGTTGTTTTCTCCATGTCGTGAGGGCAGGTGGCGGGAAGTCCAGGAGGGATGCAGCCATGTTGGAGGGAACTCATGTTAGTGACTACACAGAGGAAATAACTTGAGTGAGGAGTCAGTCTGCCGTCTCTGACCTTGAAATTCTGGGTCGTCCTCCCCTTCATCCTCTTCCCCCAATCCTGCCTATTTTATATCAATGAATCACCCTACCTGTCTCTTCCCCTCTATCTTCACTCTCACCGGACAGTTTGGACCCACCTCATTTCTCAGTAACACTCCTGCAAAAGCCTCCTACTGACTCCAGCATGAGGTGTCCTGGCTGACGTAGGGCCTCTACCACTTGCATAGCTTTCCTTGCCTGTGGGATCACCATGGGGGACCATAAAAATTTCATTTTATTTCATGCTATGTTTACCTTAAGAATTTAAAGTGTCACCTTAAATATATATAAATGAAACTTACATTAGTACATTGTTTAACTCGGTGTTCAGTTCATAGAAAATCAATAAAAGTGAGGCCACATAAAAACAAACCACAAACAATGCTAAAAGAATCAAACACGGCCATAACTCAGAGGTCAAACAACATGACTCTTCATTCACAGTTGAGTAAACAGGCCCAGATAATGACTAGCAACCTAGAATGGGAAAAAGCCTGTCTTAATTAAAGCCTAGTCTTTCTCTGCAGCCCTACCCCATACCTCTTTCACTGCCCCTTCAGCTGTGGTGACTTCTACAAGGAAAAGCAAGGATCAGTAATTAGGAATTGCTACAGTGAAAGGTTAGCATGTGCCAAGAGCTATTTCATTTACTCCTAGCATCTACCAGGAGAAGGTGACATTATTCCAAATTGGCAGATGAGGACATCAAGGAAGTAGCCACTTTACTAAGACTGGAGGGGTGGAAAATTAGTTGTACTTCTGTAAAGCCCTTCCCAGACAGGCTGTGAAGATGTAAACCCCATACCCGCCGGAGAATGACAAACACTGGTAAGAAAATGACCAGCAATACAGTGAATAATGAGACTATAGCCTCCAAATTAGGGAAACATTATTCTAAGTCTTGCTGTAATAATTAAAAGGGCGAGTAGATTGCAAAATACAAGTCGTTTCCATCAAAGAACATTAATTGATATTTGGACTAGTTTCAAAGTCCTGGTCTATATGCTAGAATATACTAGCTCTGAACAGTTTATTTGAAATGCACAAGGGAGAGAACAAAGTGTAACTGACGTGAGAGATTTTCCTTTTTATTCCTTCTTTCGTATGTGTGTGTCTCTCAAAAATAGTTCTCAAAAATGTCCTCAGCAGTTGACTTACGAATATCATCATTTTTTAAAGCTTGGTAGGTATATACTGTCTGAGCAATACTCAATTATGCTGTCTCTACCTCTGTATGCACTTAAAGCATAAAACAAATGTCACTCTCCTTCTTAGTCACTGGTTTCTCAATTCTCTAAGGAAAGTGTCCTGAAACTTACGCATTTGGATTATTGTCAGAATGCAGACTTAGAGTGGTTTATACTTCATATGAGAACAATATATACGGAGTTGTTTTTGAGGCTATTAATTAGATCAAAATACATTTACTCCATTACTGAATTCCCAAGAGTGAGTGTGTGTATAAAGTCATTACAGCAATTCTAGGATCTTGTTTCTCAATCTCAGACAACACTTTTTACTTTCAGTTTCCATTTTCCCAGAAACTTTAGTTAATCAGTGGTCCACCTATATCACTTTGTGAGATGTTAAGAGCTAAGTTTATTTTAAGAAAAGGCAGTGGGCAGATATAAATGAGGAAGTCACAGGGCTAGGGAGAGGTGCCACATGCAAGTGAATGGGTTGAAGCC